CTCCGCCCCTCTCTCTGTCTCTCATGAATAAATAAATAAAACCTTTAAAAAAAATAGAAAAGAAAATCAGGGCAGCCCCGTGGCGCAGCAGTTTAGCGCTGCCTGCAGCCAGGGCTGTGATCCTGGAGACCCTGGATCAAGTCCCATGTCGGGCTCCCAGCGTGGAGCCAGCTTCTCCCTCTGCCTGTGTCTCTGCCTCTGTGTGTGTGTGTGTCTCAATAAATAAAAATAAAATCTTAAAAAAATAAGAAAGAAAATCATATAGAAAACAGATTTACAGAACTGTACAGTACAGTATTTACTAAAAAAAAAAAAAAAAAAAAAAAAAAAACCTGCATCTAAGTGGACCTGCGCAGTTCAAACCCATGTTATTCAAGGGTCAACTGCAGTTCGTAAAATAGTAGAATATTGTGTTAACAGCACTTGAGGATGTGCATGAGGAAAGCTGTGCCAGTCTCTGTGTGGGTACAACACGATTTCACCACCAGAACCCAGAACCGCTTGCTAGCTATGTCTACACAGCAGTGATGAGCCAGACACAATGGATCCAGCTTTAAAATATTTGTTGTAAACCACTCAACCACCCAACAATGGATGAACAGATAAACCAAATGTGGTCTCTACAGAGAATGAATTTTATTCAGCCTAAAGAAGGAAGGAGACACACGCTACCACATGGATGGTCTTCAGAGATATGATACCGAATGAAATAAACCAGACACAAGAATTGTGTGATTCCACCTATATAAGTACCTAGAAAGGCAAATTCGCAGAGACAGAAAATGAAATGGTGGGAGCGAGGGGCTGCGGGACAGGAATCAGGAGTCAGTGTTTAATGTGGCAGAGGTTCAGTTTGGGATGAAAGATGAAAGAGCTGTCCAAAAATGTGAACATAATGACACTGAGGTGAAACTCAAGAATGGTTAAGACAGTAAATTATACGTGATGTGTATTTTATCACGATAAAAAAGAATTCTTTGTAAAATCTGACTTTGATAGGTATTAAGTAAAGGCGTGATCTTTCCGCAGGGGACTATTTTCATGTCAAAATTCTCTATTTTGTCCTACTCTTCATACCGGCTCAGGTCATGATCTCAGGGTCATGAGACGGAGCTCTGTGTCAGACTCCGTACAGGGTGGGGCGTGGAGTCTGCCCCATCCCTCTTCCTCTGCCCCTCCCCCCACTCAGGTTCTTGCTCACTCTAAAATAAATCTTTTTTAAAAATTTGCTAATTTTGCATACAGATTTGAAGAATTACATAAGAATTCTAAGTAATAAATTCAGAATCGCTACTGACTCTAAAGACACCACAAATTATGTAAATTATTTTCCTTAATGGATTATACAAATTAAATGAAATTAACCCGATTTGATGCCTGTGAAATATACATATGATCATGTTGTCAAAACTGTATTTCTTAACACACACAAAAAAAACATTATTCAGGAATAGAAAATCCAGGCCTATAGCCTGATTCTTTTCCGAATTTATAGTTACAGTGAGCATTGGAGTCACTGTCGGAGGCCCAACGTGTCTAGCTCCTTGCTACAGTGCTTCACACCCAAGCTACTATGAAACCAGACACAGGGCCGTATTTTACATATGCAAACTTGTGGGCCAAGTCCCAAACCAGCCAACCTCAACACTATTGACATTTGGGCCAGATACCTCTGGTGTGGGAGGCGTCCTGTGCCCTAGAGGATGTTTAGCAGCATCCCTGGGGCCCACCTTCTAGATTTAAGTATCCACCCCCGCAACACACACACTCAACGTCCTGAAAAATATGTCTCCAGACTTTACCAAGTTTTTCCCTGGGGGAAAAACACCCCAGTTGACAACCACGGTCCTAACCTGAGAGACACTTTGGGAACCGCCCATGTTTACAAAGCAAACATTAGGAAAAACAACATACTTTGATTAATTATAAGAGGCAGAAGTAGTGAAAAATGAAAGAAATGCCAAGAATTCTTTCACCATCTTGAGGCCCCTTCCTAGCCATGTTACAACCAGAATCTAAAACCCATTTCCAGAGTTTGTTCTTGAGTTCAATTCATCAAGAACTTAATTAATGCCCATGTGATCAAGCTCCACCCTGAAGGAACCCACTAGACTTTCAACGTGTTAGCTGGGAGGAGGGTGGGCCCTCCCGGTCAGCTTGGGCTCAAGAGAAAAGAAGACCCAGCTTCTCCCAAGAAAGCCGTTTTCCCGATAACCCGGAGGCGGCAGCATCTGCGTGCTCCCGGCATCTGCAAAAACGGGTGAAGACAAATGTCGCTCGAAAGAAAAGAACACTCAATAAATCAGCACGGCAAACCGAAAGGGAGAACAAAAAGCTGAATCGTGTTGTCAGATAGCACCCATCAGGGACTCTTCATCCGGGAGACCACAGAAAGCAACTGCTCTATCGGATTATCCATGTGGGACTGACGCCTTTAAATCAAAAAGCTATGGCCACAAGGGCACCTGTGAAGCTTCACTGCTTTTGAGAAGGTGAGCACCACCCACCCTCCCTGGCCTGCTCGGAGACCCCTCGGGGGCGCCACCTTCACCCAGTTAGTATGAAAACACCTGCAGGGCAGTTGTTCTGCAACCCGCGCACCAGCCAGCTGACACGGGCCGGAGTCCCGGTCTTGTCCCTGCCACGACGTCCGGCTCCAATCGACTCTAACACGAACCGATCCTTCAGGCTCCGACGTGACACTCTGCGGGCCACGGCGCCCTTTGATCACAACTACCTGGACGGACCATTTGTGCCCTTCCTGGACCGTAAGAATAAAAACGGAACTGGCGAGGATCGGTCACCCATCCTGTAACGTAGACCCCAAAGGGACGGCAATCAGAGATAAATGAGAAAGTAGACAGCAGGTGTTTAGAATGACACACACACGCGCGCGCGCGCTGGGCAAACAGGATACAGCCCGAGAGCAAACGCTGGGTGTCCGAGGGTTCCCAGTCACTTGCAGGTGGGCGGGCATGAGCCCAGGAGAGCCCCGGGGGGTCTGCCTCCAACCCCGCCAGCTAACGGCACCCCCAGGACTCCCCGCGCCGGGCCGCAGCCCCGCTGAGGGAATTGGAAGCTGCCTCCCCGAGCCGCCTAGGCCCCGTACACGACGATCCCCCAACGGGGAAGCAGCTCGACATGTCGCTGGGCTCAGCTCCTCCGGCGGCAGGTCTGTGTCATCCACGAAGGCAATCGTCCCGGGTGGCACGACTCAGCGCCCCATGGGCACCCGCTGGCATGGCCAGCAGCCCTCAGTCTGCATGTCGGGTCTCGGGTCTGTATCCACACTCACGGGCCCAAAGGCAGAAGGCCCAGCAGCAGGGCTGCACCCCCCAGGGGGCTGCAGTTCGTGGGCTTCGGGGGTGCTGCCCCGGGGGGGACCCGAGAGGCCCAGGGCCTACCTGTGTGCCATCCCTTCCCTGTCCGGTCGGTGGACACCTGCAATGGCACCCATCTCACAGGACCACACGAGGAACAAAAGTGGGGACTTAGAACACCAAAGCCATGCACGGATGTTCACGTCAGCTCGACTTGTCCTGTCCCCGCACCCCAAAGAGCCCAAACGCCCTGTACCAAGCGAACGGACAAAGAGGCTCTGGATGCCCCTGCAGTGGGACACTGCTCAGCACCGAAAAGGCACGAGTTGCTGACACCACGACGTGGATGGATCGCAACGGCTTTAGGCAGAGTGAATCAAGGTGGTCTCCAAAGGCCAGATGCCATATGATTCCATTTATGGAACATTCTCAAAATGACCAGTTCTAGAGATGGAGAACCCGGGGGCTGCCAGGAGCTGGAGACGGTGCCATAAAGGAGTGGCAAAGGGAGCTCTGCTGGTGAGGCCACAGTTTCAGGGGAGATGATGGCAGTGGCTGCATGCACATGTACATGCGACACACGTGTACACGTGCATGCAAATACACACACGTGCACAGGCAAACTGGTGAGATCCAGAGAAGGTCTGCACTTGAGGCCAGCGTCTACCTCACCCTCAGACAGCAGTGTCGCAGGATGGGGAGGCAAGATGCCTTCAGGACGGGCAGGAGGGGCCGGTACTCTGGACCTCAGGGGCTCTTTCTGCAAACTCTCAGGAGCCTCAGGTTAATTCAGAAAAGCAGCTTCCCTGCGAACCGTCTGATGAACGGATAAACAAAACGTGGCCTATTCAAACAACGGAACAGCATCTGGTGAGAAGGAAGGATGCACACGCCCCCCACACGCGGGGACCGCGACAGCGTCATGTAGGGGGTCGCCAAGCCGGCCACCATCGCGACCCATGTGACCCTGTTTACACGGACCGCCCGAGCCCAGGCAAACCCACGGACATGCGCGTGCGGGCGACCCGGGAACCACCCACAGCAGCCGCGCCTCGGCTGGGCCCGCAGCACGCTCCGGAGGGACGGGCTCCACAGGGTCGTCCGGGGACGGAAGAGCTGTCACCCGAGTGCTCTGGACGCGGGGCCCGGCTCTGCAGCTGTGGCCACCGTGACGGCTCCAGATCCCCGAAGGCCCCGTTCCACGCGACCCGGGCCGGGCCCAGAGGAGGTCGTTCTGGAAAATTCTGGCCGGGGTGGCCTGTCATGTCCCAAACACATACTGGGAAGAACAGACAAGCCTGAGGGAGCCTGTGTACAAACAGCAGCCTTCTAGGGACAAACAAATACCTCAACTGTATATGGGAAAGAACAACAGAAGTGCTGCTCCTCCTCTCCAAAGCACACACATTTTAATGATCATCTCCATTTCTCTTCTCGAAAATTTCCGGCTCCCGGAAGCGAAACAGGAAAGAAGTTGTGCCACGCAGACGCACAGCATTTTCTTGCTAGCACAATTACCTGTTACAAGAAATCTTAAGAAATCACCATTTCCAGGACTTACAGCCAGTACAGTGACATTTAATTTTTTTTTTGACATTTAATTTTTAAGCGCGGAAAATTTGAAGAGGTTGACAGGATACTTATGACATAGTAAGAAATCCATGGTACAACTTCACTTACTCAGAGCCAAATGCAGGCAAATCCCTCCTTCCTTCGAGGCTTTATTCTTGGGCTTGTTTTCGGTCTTCAGTTACCTGGTAATGAAAAACACCCAGAGTAAGGCCAACGTGTCCATGCAAACGTCCTCAAGTGTACCGACGACCGTTCCGCGGGCCAGCAGAGGATATGAACCAGAGATGGGACAAAAGGGAAACGTCTGCTACGTCAGCCGGTACACGAGCACCATCGGTGAACGTCAGGCTTCGCTCTCGACTTGGAGCGCACGATGAAACTGCTCACACAAATCTGCTCGAAAGTTTATCTCACAACCAATTACGGTCCTAACACCCCCGCCCCCCAAAAGCACGCCAAGTGAAAATACAGGTACTTCTACACTCAGCCCGACTCGGCAAGTTTTTATTGACAACCACGACTCGCTCTGTCTTGCGGGAAACACAAACGGTGCTGGGTGTTGCTCTGGTATTAGGGACACATAGTGTCTGGTCTTGCAGAACGTACCCATCCTGGCAGTGAAAACGGGGGTAGAGCCTGGTGACGGAAGAGCAGGGACGATTAACTAGAAAGCAAACGCACAGCAAGGCCCACTTCAGATGACAGAACTACGGAAACTCCAGTTGGTGGTGGAAGAGGAAGGGACCGGGGCAAGGAGTTTACAGCGGGGCCTGGGGCAGCACTCTTGGAGGAGAGAGCATCTGAATGGGGGACAGGGAGGCCAGACTGCAGACGCCAGCAAGTGCAGACGTCCTGTGGTGAGAATGACCTTGGCAAGAGGGAGGAGGCCTAGTGGGCTGGTGAGTAATAGCAGGTCCCAGGTCCCAGAGGACTTGAGAGCCCATGGAAAGGAAAGTGATCCTACACAGGCCCAAAGATGCCTTATTCTTCACCCAGCATCAGTTAATGAGAAAAGAAAATCTGATCATTCAGCTATTAAAAGGAAAAAAAAAAAAAACCCTTCAGGGGTTCCTATCATGCTCAGGACGAAATCCAGAGAAGCTCTTGCTCGGTAGAGACCCACTGTTGGGTCGCAGTGCCAGCAGGAAAGAGGAGCATGAAACATGGATGACAAGGACAGCAGATGGCAAGAAACCACACGGTCTCCTCTGCCCCTGCTCACCACCTGGAAGAAACCTAGAGAGGCTTCCTGGAGGCAGCAGCATTTCTACGGGCCCATGGAGTCAGGCGAGGAGGAAGAGAAGGGAACTGCAGCCTGAGTGGTGCTGGAGGCCACAAACGTAGGCCAGAGAGCAACGAGGTTGCTAAAAACGTCAGGTGATGCTCCCGGGGTGCTCGGGGAGAGGGCGTGTGGGCAGCAGAGTGCCGGGACGCCGGGCAGCGGGGAGAACGGGTGCCCCGTCCAGCAGAGGGGAGAGGAGGCCACCTGCGCAAGATGCCCCTGCAGACGGCGCGCTGCCAGCAGGGGCGACCCCGAAATAGCAGCCAACCCACAGGTCCACCCAGGCAGGAGCCAGGGCCCCCCACTGAGCCAGCCAGTTCTCTTTTTCATTTTCTCTGAGCTAACAAGGACTCATGCCCCTGGCAGCCGACGCTCAGAGCCCTGCACTGTGTGAAATGCTGACACAAGGTGCCAGATGGCCGGTCCACTGCCCTACCCTGCTCTGTCTTCATTCCACAGCAGCAGTCTCACTTTTAATACTGTTGTACTAAAAAATAAAAATAAATAAAAAATTAAAAAAGGAAAGGGGAAAAGAAGGGCAGGTTTACAGGCCTCACTTTGCTCCTAATTAATTATAAGAAACTCTCTCTGGACCAGAGAGTCCTCGGCTGTGAAATGAGGGTATTAAATTATTTATGAGGTTTCATCCACACATGAAAAAATCTGAGGAACCATTTTCCTGTTGACTTCCCTTGTAAATTCGAAGGGAAAACACTTGCAAAGAAGTGAACCAGAAACGTGCACAAGAATGCTGGGCGGGGGGGATGGATCTGTCTGTCCTGCAGCCCACTGACCACAGAACTATATCCTAAGGCTGCTATATTTTCCCAAAGTGGCCATAATGATTAACATTTGCACCCCAGAGAAATTCAAGTTGTACCATCACGAAAACAACGCAAAAAATCCAAAATATGTTTTCAGAAGCCACTGAGCATAACAGAGAAGCTGCAATTTCCTTCTGAGTCCTTTCTTTTTTTAGGGAGCCCTGAATTAACCGGGCCGAGAGCCAGGGGCTAAGCCGGGTACTGGCCTGAGGAGCCAGAGAATTCTGAACACTTCATTTGCTATGAGGTTCGAGTTCTATGTAATGAAGCTGTTGTTTCCTCCATGACCAATACTGAATAGCATTTTTATGTTATGGTGATGATTCATTCAATAACAGATTTTAAATCCTTTAAATCAGTGGTTCTCCAATGGGGCTGTCTCTCAGGGGACACTGGGCAATGTCTGGAGACATTTTTAGTTGTCAGGACTGGAGGAAGAATGCTCTGGGCCTCCAGAAAAGCCAGGGATGCAGCACACAGCATAACCCTTCTTAGCAAAAAAAATTATCTGGCCCAAATATCAATACTGCCAAGGTCAACCACACTGAAGTTTCTCTAATTTTACAGGAGATACATCCTGTATACTTTCATGTTCCAAACCACTTTTATTCCTTTCAAAGTAATGCATGTACATTGTTTTAAGAAGTAGGGGATCCCTGGGTGGCTCAGCGGTTTAGCACCTGCCTTTGGCCCAGGGCACGATTCTGGAGTCCCGGGATCAAGTCCTATGTTGGGCTCCCGGCATGGAGCCTGCTTCTCCCTCCTCCTGTGTCTCTGCCTCTCTCTCTCTCTATGTCTATAATTAATTAATTAATTAATTAATTAATCTTAGGGGAAAAAAAAAGTAAAATACAGGTGCACCTGGGTGCCTCAGTGGTTGAACATCTGCCTTCAGCTCAGGGCATGATCCCAGCGTCCTGGGATCAAGTCCTGCATTGGCCTCCTCACAAGGAGCCTGATTCTCCCTCGGCCTGTGTCTCTGCCTCTCTCTGTATGTCCCTCATAAATAAATAAAATCTTCAAAACAAATAATAAAAGTAAATTACAGGTGAGGCAAAAAGACTCCTCTTTTTACTTACAAGCTTTTTATAGCACCATCTATCCGCGATTCTACTTCCCAAAGCAACCATTTTCAAATCTCAGAACTGTTTGTATTATTGGCAGTGACCCTCAGGATGACTTCAATGTTTCTAAATAATCTGCTTGTAATATTCCCTATCAGCTTTAGATATTACTTGATTTTTTCACACATAAATGAGGATTCTGGTTATTTAAATTCCATCCTCAGTCCTTGCTCACCCTACCATTTTCCTAATAGTCTAATAGTTTTTGGTTAAATCTGTATTTGAGGAACGCCAGGGTGGCTCAGTGGTGGAGCATCTGCCTTTGGCTCAGGGCGCGATCCTGAAGTCCCAGGATGGGGTCTCACATCGGGCTTCCTGTGACGAGCCTGCTTCTCTCTCTGCCTGTGTCTCTGCCTGTCTCTCTCATGAATAAATAAATAAATCTTTTTTTTTTTTTAAATCTGTATCTGACAGATACTATTTTGGCAGTGGAACGGGCACTGCTGAGGAGCAAGCAATATAGTATGATTATGATTCATTTCTTATGCAACCCTTTTGTTTTCCTGGGGTTACTAATTGCATCTGTTTCTTATTTCCTTAGGTTTTTGAGGTTTTTTTTTTTTTCTTTCTATCCTTTGGGAACTCATGCAGCATTGTCCACAATCTTCTGATTCAATTTTTCACATGATCAAAATTCTCAGATAATCTGTTAGCTCTATGGGTTTCCCCCTCAATCACTCCTACATCACCCAAATATTCACTCATTAGACCTTCTGAAATTTCATCTCTGTTCAGTCTGCACCTGTCTGTATTAGGCCTGCTACAGAGTTCATGCCACCTCAAAACCACAACATCTTGAAAATATATTGTCTCTTTTGGTTTCTAAGATCCCAAATCTCTCCCTTTCTTGGTTTACTCTATTTGGTTGGACACATTCTCTGGTAGATTTCTGAGGAGTGATGTGTAAAGGCTGAATTTCATTGATATCCTGAATATGTACAAATATCTTTATTCTACCCTAATTAACAACTAGTAGAGGAATGACTTTAGAATCTGAGTGAAAATTATTTGCATAGAATTCTATACTCAGTCTCTTTTCCAACTTCCAATGCTGCTACCAGGAAACCTAATATCATTCTGATTCCAGATCCTTCATATGACATTTAAATCCAGGATAATGCTTAGATACTGACTTTATCTCTAATATTCCAAAATGACAAATACGAGCTTTCATGTTAACAATTTCTGGGGGGGATATGCTTTTCATTCTCTGTTCTAGTCACTGGTATGAAATTTCTCTCTTCTTCAGATTTGAGATTTTTTACACCCTCTCTTCCTTGGAATAGCTATTAGACAAAACTCTGAATAATCATTTCTCATCTATGTGTTAAAACTTTCTGCACTAAGTCTTCACTGACCAATAAAGTATGTGGCTACTAAGTGCTTGAAATGTTTGGCTAGTGCAATTGAGGAACTGGCTTTTAAATTTTATTTAATTTGGGATCCCTGGGTGGCGCAGTGGTTTGGCGCCTGCCTTTGGCCCAGGGCGCGATCCTGGAGACCCGGGATCGAATCCCACATCGGGCTCCCGGTGCATGGAGCCTGCTTCTCCCTCTGCCTATGTCTCTGCCTCTCTCTCTCTCTCTCTGTGACTATCATAAATAAATAAAATTTAATAAATAAATAAATAAATAAATAAATTTTATTTAATTTCAATTAATTTAAGTGTAAATAGTCACATGTGGCCAGGGGTTACTGTATTAATACAAATCTAAAGACTATGACAAATGGGGGAAAAAACCAACACAGGAGAAGCAGTGTCTGTAGCACCAACTCTAAGATGATAGTAAACATCAGAAAAGGGGATTCCTGGGTGGCTCAGCGGTTTAGTGCCTGCCTTCGGCCCAGGGCACGATCCTGGAATCCCGGGGTCGAGTCCCACGTCGGGCTCCCGGCATGGAGCCTGCTTCTCTCTCTGCCTCTCTCTCTCTCTCTATTATGAATAAACTTTT